GTCATTCATTTCAAAATCATCTCAAGTTCATACTCTAGCAATGCCCCACCCCACAACAAGCCAAATGTATCTAAAAATTTAGATTTATATCAGCTATAAATTAGGGAAAAGTAGCTCTGCTTATAAGGTAATTCTTTTCTTCTGGAAGAGGATTTCTCACAGCTCCTTTGGAATTGGAAACTCACGGTATGATCTGAAAGCAAGTTTTGCTGATAAGAACACATACCATGAACCAAACAGCCAGGCTCCATACGAGCTCTGCTAGGTTCTACCTGTGTGATTCAGCCAAGTGATTCAACATCTCTGTGCTCCAGGGTCCTCGTTTGTAAGGAGAAGATAATGACAGTGCCTCCCCATAGAGGGGTTACAAAGATTAGATGAGTTCCTATAATTAAAGTGCTTGTCACTATGCCTGGCTCTCATCTGCTATGCAAAGCAGGGCACTGCACTACCAGGGCCAGGTGCACAGCAAACGCCTGAGCAGAGAGCACATCTAGTACTAGATGGAAATTTTCCCCCCAGAGAACTCATACATGTTTGCATGTCTTCTGAAAAGCCAACAGAAGTTATTCCTTTAGGAGATGGAGGAAGCCCTCACAAATGCTATTATTTAGCCATGTATTTTCCCCTTTTTATCTCAATTCCTAAAACAGAACTACTTTCTCTTTGAAATCAAATTGATGACAGGCTCTTCCCACCTACTTCAGAGTCAATTCTAGCAAAGTAGATAAAGAAGGAATCCACTGCAGGGATATCACAGTTCTTATTAGATGCCAGCTTCTTCCCATCAGGTGAGATGGATGATTGACTGGCTGGATGGATAATAAATTGTTCCTGGATCGACGCTGAATGATAATTCTATCTAATCTCTGTGCATAGAAAAACCAAGCCAGGTAGGCACAGTGTTTCACACCTGTAATTCTAGCACGTTGGGATGCCAAAGCAGGTGAATCACCTGAGGTCAGGAGTTTGAAACCAGCCTGGCCAATATGGTGAAACCCAGCCTACTAAAAATACAAAAATTAGCCAGACGTGGTGGCTGCACCTGTAATCCCAGCTACTCGGGAGGCTGAGACACAAGAATTACTTGACCACAGGAGGAAGAGGTTGCAGTATGCCAAGCCAAAATTGCACCATTGTACTCCAGCCTGGGCGACAGAGTGAAACCCCATCTCAAAAAAAAAAAAAAAAAAAAAAAAGAAAGAAAAAGAAAAGCCAAGCCTTCTGACATAAGCAGTATCATATGCTTGAAAAATAACTATCGTAATAATTTACATTGGCCTCATGTTTATTGAGATGAGGCCAGTGTAAAGCCACATGTAAAGATGAATTCAGCAAAAAACCAAACCAAATGACATACTGTTTCAGAGAATATTCTTAGGTTGTGATTGTGTCTACCATAACAGAATTTAAAAATAATGGTCTAAATAATTCTAAATGCTTTCTCATAAGTAATTGTGGATAGAGCCCAAAATAAGTATTTTCAGATTTTCTGAATATTGTTTCAAATTCAATTTATCCTGGATTTTATTTCAGTCTCTGGTGCTTGTAACTTTCATTTTACACATCTTAGCCCAGTAAGTTGCTCCTGAAAAAACGGCAGAGCCATGTCACCTACCCTTTAAAATGTTTTATTCAAAAATAATAAAAGATATAGAAGATGGTACAAGTCATAAACATCCAAGTCAATAAATTTTCACAAACCGAATACCACAGTGTAATTAGCACCCAGGTTAAGAAACAGAACTCGGCAGCCCCTCAGAAGCCCACTTCATGCCTCATCTCCCAAAAGCAACCTCTATCCTAACCCTTAACTACCTAGTTCAGTGCAGCGGTTGGCTCTTGCTGCATAACCAACAATCACAAAACTTCAGTATTCTGTCACTCACTCACCTGGGGCAGGTGTGTAGGCGAGTCGGCTCATCTTGGCGGGGCTCTTCCTTGCCAGGTCTGTCCCGTGGACCCTGGCTGACGGACACAGGTATGCAGTGTAAGAGCAGCGAGGTGACCGCGCGACTCTGCTGGTCAGCGAGCAGGCCCGAGACGCTTGAGCTGCCCGCTTTTATTCAGCGCAGGCACGATGCCGAAAACCTGGAGCAAACACGACCTGTAGGTAATTAACATTTACTGTTCCCCTTTCAGGGAACATCACATGTGCAGATGATCAAAAGTCAGTACCTGCTCAACAAAAGTGAACGAGCCTGTTTAAGATAAATCCCCCTCCACTCCCTTGGGCTCTGCAGAACTTTTCAACCTTTCAGAACGTTTGCGCCTTTCCCTATAGTTTTTCCCGGTGCTCTGACAGATCCCCCACAGGCTCACTCTTGCATATGGGGAGCTGGGGAACAGCTCGCCCCCAGCAGCCTAGCCAGGGCATGGCCATAGTGATAGCCGAGAATAAGAGAACAAACAGAAATATGCAGACCTCCTCTTTGCTCAAGAAGACAGGATCTGACAGAGCCGGGATTAGAGTGAGGCTAGGAGAGGGGGCCCTAGAAAACTGAGTCATGTAAGTGCAGGGTCAACTATGCCTTTATTGAAATGTTGACATTTTGTTCATGATAGATATTTTTTGCATTAATTTTGATTTTTCAAAACCGTACATTCAATGTTATTTTTCTCGATTATTGAGGGTTTTGGTGCCTCCTTAATTTTAAGGCTGGGCCTTCATTGTCTCACCATAGTTCTGACCCTGCTGGGGACATACACTCCGCATCTTCAGTGAAAGCAGTTGCAGTCATAAGGCAGAGGGCGTGGGTTTCAAGAGATGAAGAATTAGACCCCACTGTGTAGGGGTCTGTTGGGGGGAAATGGGGAAGGGACGGCGGGGTGGGGAGGTGGGGAGAGATAGCATGGGGAGAAATGTCAGATATAGGTGAAGGGGAGGAAGGCAGCAAATCACGCTGCCATGTGTGTACCTATGCAACAATCTTGCATGTTCTTCACATGTACCCCAAAACATAAAATGCAATTAAAAAAGAGAGAGAGAGAGGAATAATTATAGCTACTAGTGCAATCAATCTACCACAATTAATTTTGGCCATTTTTGAGGCTGGGCACAGTGACTGACACCTGTAACTCCAGCCCTTTGGGAGGCTGAGGCAGGAGGATCACTTGAGCAAAGGAGTTTGAGACCAGCCTGGGCAACATAGGGAGATCCCATCTGTACAAAAAGTTTTTTAAAGTATTAGGTGAGTGTGGTGGCAGGCTCCTATAGTCCCAGCTACTGAGGAGGCTGAGGTAGGAGGATTCTTGAGCCTGGGAATTCAATGCTGCAGGGAGCTGTGATTATTCAACTGTACTCCAGCCTGAGTGACAGAGCAAGACTTTGTTTGGGACCATTTTTGTATTCTATATAAATGGAATTGGACAATGTGTATTCCCTTGAGTCTGGCATCCTTTTCTCAACGTTATATTTATAAAATGCATCTGGAGTGTTGTAATTGTAAATCACTTAGTATTTTCATTGCTATCTAGAATCCCATTGTACAAAGACATCACAGGGTTGAAAGGCATTTGGATAGTCACCATTTAGAGCTATTAATACCACTGTGTTGAACAATCTAGTATAACTCTCTATTAAATATACATGCATTTTTGTTGGGCACGTACTTAGGAATGGAATTGCTGGGTCAGAGGGTATGTGGACATTCAGTTTTAATTGCTGCCGGTTTCCCAGCAATTAATTCGTTTAGCTTTATTAAAGTTCTTTGTATGTGGTAGTATGAATCTTCCGGTATTGTTCTTTAAGATAGTTTGGCTATTTTGGGCTCCAGATTTCTAAATGAATTTTAGAAATAGCTTGTCAATTTCCACAAAGGAAAAAAACCTGCTGGGATTTTTACTGGGCTTGTTTTGAATCTGTTAAACTAACTTGGGAAGAACTGACATTGCTACAACATACCTCCATGTCATCTTAAATTGCTCTCCCTGTCTCATACTTTTGTATATCTACTTTGAATAAAATAGGTAGCCAATAAATATCTAAAATAAGTGGCTAATAAATGCATTACAAAGCTTTAGACTTAATGATATTTTTCAGCCATAATACATATCTGCTATGGTTGTGTTATGTCAACCAAAACTCTTGTTGACATTTAATTGCCATTGTCACCGTTTTGGGAGATGGGGCCTATAAGAGGTGATTAGGTCATGGGAGCTCTGCCTTTGTGAATAGACTCACGCTGCTATCACAGGAGTGAGTGAGCAATCTAGGGAGTCTGGCCCCTCTTCCTCCCTCTCTGTCTCTCTCTCTCTTTCTCACACTCCCTCTCTTGTCCTTCTGCCTCCCTGCCACAGGATGACCCTCACCAGATGACAGCATCATGCTCCTGGACTTCCCAGCCTCCAAAACCATAAGCTAAATAAATTTCTCTTCATTATAAATTACTCATTCTGGAGTAGTCTGTTACAGCAACAGGAAACCGACAAAGACAACCTCTTCCAGACACCTGAACTCATCCTTCTCTTCCATTACCCTAGGCCTTACACATGCTCTTCCTTAGTCGGGTAGAACTCTCTCCCTGCCCTCTGTCCCTCCTACCTGACTAAATCGAGTCTTCCTGGACAAGTCCGTTCAAATGTCTGCTCTGCAGAGTCAGCAGGTCCTCTTTGTTTTCCTCCCTCTGCGCGCCGTCACCTGATTCTAAGTTGCCACGTTGTATCATAATGAGCTGCTCGAGTTCCCACGGAACACTTGGGTGTCTACCAGAGCCAGCCCAGCACTAAGTAGATCTGTGTGGAATAAGCGAAAATGACCCATCGACTTTTTGCTGGGCTGTTTGTTAGTTGATTTACTTCGTCTTTGTAAGACTTCATCTGACTTTAAATTGAGTCAAAGAAAACATGAGTGTTCTAGTTTGGCAAAGGCGTACATGCCTATCTGAGGTTTGCTTCATTATTTATTTTGATTTGAAAACATTTCTTTATATTAAACCTCTTTGCAATAAGGATTTGAAGCGAATAAATTGTTTGGTCTGATTCACCCCACAGTTTCTAAGTCAGTCTAGAAGAAAGCCATCAACACTGATATTTCCAGTGACGCTCATGAAAAGGCAGGCACACCTCCAGTGACCACTAGGTGGCAGCTTCACTCTCGATACGACCGGATTGACAACGTCCATCCAAGAAGTCTGGGGCAGGCAAGTTGGAGCCCAGGGCGAAGCTTCACTAGGCCCTGTGGGTGGAAAAATGAAGACCCAAACTCAGTCCTGAAGAAGATGGAGTTATGGAAAAAACAGCACCTGGAAAATGTAAAGGAATGCCACCAGACGTTATTCCACCGAAAGGTTAGCTAAGTTAACCACAGCCACAAAATTGGTAAAGAAAAGACGTGCAGAGACCCGAGACAGGCCAGACCGTGTTGGAAGGCAAAGGAGTCTCCCGCCCTCCACAGCTGGAGCCCAGCCCCTTAGGGAAAGGCAGGATGGTTGCAGACTGGTCATTGCTGAGCCCCTGGTCATGTGCCGAGTGACAACCTCAGATGTGTCCCAGCCAAGACTGCTTGCTTCTCTTCTGAGAGACCCCAGAAGGAACCCCTGAGAGGCCCTGCTTAGTCTTTCTAGTTCCCATTCCAAAGCTGAATAAGAGACTTTTCAAGCTCAAAGCATGAACGAGGGGCAGGGCTTATCTCCACAGAAAGCTGACGTGGCGCCTATCACAGCAAATCCAGGCACTTCGCAGGTCCACCTGCAACAGGCCACCCAGGGCCCCTGAGGAAATTATTTGGACTATTAACCTTGAGGAGGGTGTGGGCCAAAATCACCAGCAGACTTCTATCAGGACTGTATTTTTTATACATATAAAGCACAGATTTCTTCTGTCCTAGAATAGGGAAACTGAGGCCCAGAGCAAGCCAGGGATGAAGTAAATGCAATCCCCGTGATTGAGAAGGGAGCCTTTGGGTGGGCCTGAGGAGACCAAAACCCCAAGGAAGCCATCTTGGCGATACCCAGGTTATCACAATATAACACCCACTCATACATTTGTGGAAGGGCTTTAAGTTTTGCACACGAAGAACATGAGTAATCAGATTCTTCTGAATCAGTCATCAGTAAGAGAATCTGTTCTCTTCTCTTTCTCTGCTACCAACCCCAGAAAGACTGCAAAGAACAGACACCTGAGTCTACACCAAACTGCCACACTTAAAAGACACTGCACCAGCTATGAGGTAATAACCACCAGGGGTTACGGGGTCCATGAACAGGGTAAGCTCCTTTACCTCCCTCCTGCTGGAGTGTGAGTTATAAAATAGACTAACGACGGCAGGGAAAGACAGGTTTTAAGAAAGAGCTAGTAAGAAGCCACATGCAGCTTCTCCCCACATCTTCGGCACCACACCGACATCAACCTCCAGGCCGAGTTTGGGTGGGGAAAGAACTCCCAGACGATGTGAGAGGAGAGGTTGGCATGCCTTCCCCCAGGTGGACTTTCCCAAGCAGCAGCACCCGCAGATGCGTCTGCCGCTGGATCACGGGGAGACAGGAAGTAGTGAAGGACAGGGCACAGTCAGGTAGGAGGAGCTGGAAGCCACTTCCAGGCTTCTTTTGGAGTCAAACTTTGTAACGGAGGAGATCCATGCATTTCCTTGGACCCAGCATGGTCTGAAGACATGCGCTGGAGCTTGAACAACATGCCTGCCCCAAAAGGACCCCTGGAGAAGAGAAGGGAAGCATCTCCTAGGTTCCAATCCCCGAGCTCTTGTTGGTGGCCCTGGGTGAGATGTTCGCTTGCTCTGAGCCTCAGGTTTCCTCCCTGTCAAATGGCGATAACATTACCTAATTCCTAAAGTTGTTAGAATTAAATAAAATAAAATTCATCAAGTTTCTTGTACAGGATAGATGAGCAATAAATGGGATGAGGGTGGAGCACCTGCCTGGGATGGAGCCACAGACTGACTATGAAGCAGCAGAGAGTTCCATGTGCTTCCTGAAAAGGTTGGCCTCTAGCAACACCTGTGGCAAGGGACATCAGCAGAAAAGTTAACCCAGGGGTGCCAAGAAGTACTTGGGACCAGAGGGAGGACACTCTCCCCATCACTAGCGCACAGCTAACCATGGAACAGGACTTCTCTACCACTGGCAGCCACCAAGGAAAGTAGGGGTACCAGAGGCAAGAAATCGTCTTCAATTACAGAATACATTCCATTTTATCAGGCAGCCTCCTGATCAGCCTGCACTGTGGTCCTGCCCCCACCCCCGCCGTGTTTCTACAGTAGCAACATAATTATCAGTTGCTATTGTAAAAATTACCGAAACTTTCACAGTATAAAACACACACTTACTATAATTTAGTTCTATGGGCCAGAAGTCCCATGGGTCTCATAAGACTCAAATCAACGTCTCAGCAGGACAGCGTTCCTTGGTGGCAGCTCTAGGGAAGAGTCTATTTCTTTGCTCATTCTGATCTTGACAGGTCCGTGGGATTGTAAGACTGGGGTCCTTGCTGGTTGCTAGCTGGGGCCACCTTGAACTCCTAGAAGACATTTGCTCTGTCCTTACATATAGTTCCTACATCTCAGAACCAGCAACAGAGCAGGGAATCCTGATCTCGTAGCCCTCTCATTGACCTCACTTCCCCTAGACACATTTCTGTCTCTGCCTGCACTTAGGGAGGGCTGTCTGCTTCTTGGGATTAGATGGGGCCCATTTGGATAATCCAGGCTAATCTCTTTATCTCAAGACCCCTGATGTTAACCACATTTGCAAAATCTTTTTTTCCTATTAAGACAACATATTCACAGCTTCGGGGGAATGAGAATGTGAACATCTTTTGGCTGGAGGGGGACATCTTTCTGGCTATCAAGCTAGTAAACGTTCACCAGGCATTTATTTCTGACCTTAAAGGCCAAGTACCGTGTTATGTGCTGACTCTACGTTGGCATAAGAGGCATCAGGGAGGGGAGAAAGTCTAGGCTGGGTGGTGCCACCCACTGGGACATCTGACTTCGAGTTTTGCAACACTCCAGGGGATTCTGTTCACATGAAATACAATGTGGATTGTAGCTCTCACCTCCCACTCCCTTAGCCCTCTTGACTCCCCAGTCCTTGCCCCTGACTTAGATAGGCTGAACCCCCAGTCTGAAATTGCTGGAGGTGTCTGAGTAAGGTCATTCCAGTTCTCTAGGAGGCAGGAGCTAAGCTCACCAGGGGACTGAGATGATGACCCTGCTAGAACGAGGTTCAGCCATAGCAGAAAAGTCAAACAGAGCAAGGCAGGACTCGCAGCAGTCCCAACAGGCCCCTGCAGACAGACACTGCTCTGGCCCTCAGCCTTGCGTCCTGGCCTGGTTTCACGGTCCCTCCGGGGACCACAGAGGGAAATGCCCAGGTCGTCTTGGGCCCCTTGTCACTCCGTATCAGAATAGAAAAACTGTCGCTAACTGAAGCCCCTTCCGGCTGAGGTTCCCTGGCCTATATTTTGCAGCTCCAGGGCTCATCAGAGCCACCAATTTGCTGCTATGTTCTCAACCACAAGGATGGTGAGTCAGCACAGTGGTTGACTCTCAGCAGAGAGGCTGCAGCCTTCAGCAGAGCCCCCGGTGGGGCAGCCTCCTGAGCAGCCTGTGATGTGGTCCGGCCCCTGTGCTTCTTCCAGTCCTGGGCATCCCTGGCCTGGCTGGCATCCTAGTCACACACCCAAGAAGCAGTTCAGCTTGCTGAGCACATTGCCTTCCAAAACCGTGGCATAAGAGGTGAAGGACAGAACAGGGGGGAAGTCATCAGCCCAGTCTGACAAGTGCAGGCCAGCGTGTGGCCAATAGCAACTCGGGCTCTTTGCTCCAGTCCAAACCCGAAACATGAGTGTGCTGGTAGGGTGCTCCCTTCCTCTCTTCTAGAATTCATAACTGGAAGCCAGGTCCTGACAGCTGAGACACAGTCCCCATCACAGCATCACATTCTGGCCAGCCAGCCTTCCAGTGGCAGGAGCTGACACCAGGAATGGGTGCTCAGTCCTCTCTCAGTTAAAAAGCCTTTGCTTCATACCGTGAAACCCTAAGGGCTAACTGTGGTTGTCACTTCAGCTCCTACCACTTAAAATTTGCTGGCAAGATAGACTTTTAGGGAATGATTTCTGCATCCACATAGCATTCCTTGTTTTAATCTTTCCTGTACCCTTCTTAGGGCTAAATTACTGATGAGAGCCCTGGGTGACACAGAACAAGCTGGGAGCAAGGAGGAAGTTTGTCAGCAGTGACAAGCTCCAGATGACAGTTATGTGGCTTGGAAGGCAAGTCTTACTCTAAAAAGATCCTGCCCCCATCCCCAGCTCTGGATTACTTGGTCTGGTAGGTTTTTTTTTGTTTGTTTGTTTTTGTTTTTTTTTGAGACGGAGTTTCACTCTTGTTACCCAGGCTGGAGTGCAATGGCGCGATCTCGGCTCACCACAACCTCCGCCTCCTGAGTTCAAGCAATTCTCCTGCCTCAGCCTCCTGAGTAGCTGGGATTACAGGCACGCGCCACCATGCCCAGCTAATTTTTTGTATTTTTAGTAGAGACGGGGTTTCACCATGTTGACCAGGATGGTCTCGATCTCTCAACCTCGTGATCCACCCGCCTTGGCCTCCCAAAGTGCTGGGATTACAGGCTTGAGCCACCGCGCCCGGCCGGTCTGGTAGGTTTTACAGAGTATGACCCCGGTTTTCTGTTTAAGGTAATTGGCCTCTAGATATGGCTAGAAGAGAGTTTTCCTCTCAGATCTTGCCCCGAAGATCACCATAACAATGACCAGAATAATAAATGTCTATAATCACATGCAATCTTTAGCTCTAGTAATAGAGTATGACAGAGAACGCTGCTGCTGCTGCTGCTGCTACTGCTATTGCTGCTGGTGGTGCTGATGAAGATGATAAGGAAGACACTAGATGATTTGACCCTCCTTAGCCTCCGATGGCTGATTACAGGTAGATGTGGCTTCTGAAACAAAGTTATATAATTCACCTCTTGTTCCTGATCCACTTTTAACAAAATTTCCCTGGAAAAGACTTTGTACCTTCTTTAAGTACCCAACACACAGTCATCTTTATGTTTTCCTACCAAGTTCCCACATTTCTGCCTCAGTGGGTTCTACAGTCTGAACCCCAGAAGCAATTTAATAGTTCAACCCTCTGGCAAGCAGTTACATCAAAGGGACTGTAGATTCCCAACCCAGAATGGAAGAATCCTCGACCTCCTGCACCCCACCCCCCCAGTTCTGCCCCACCTCAAAACTGCCTACATCATCTCAACGACCCAACTTTTGGGGAAGAGGCGTGAATTTCCTCTTCCTTTTCATCGAGACTAGCCCAGGTCACAGACCCTGATCTCTCTACTGGGAACCTAGGCTAATAATTTTGAGCATGCAAAATAAATAGCAAAAGTAAGTCCCATGTTGTAGAACATCCTCAACTCTACAGAAAGCTCACTGGTTGAGAGCATTTGTAACATCGTGCCCTGCCCAGGAATGCAGAGAATAGGTAGCCCTGCTGGCTCTTGTTGATTGAGAATGGAGGACAGCTCTTGGAAGGTAGGGAAAAAAATCGATGGCTGTCATAGAAGAAAGATTCATGTTTTTTAAATAACAGAATCACAATGAATTTAAGGACAGGGACATTAAACTGGATGTCTCTGTCCTTAAAGTTGAAGGTGAGATCCTCTCAGGCAAACGCAGTGGTGTCACTGGGAGAGTCCCATGTGTTCTGGGAAGACAAGGGTCCCAGCATAGAACATCTCCTAACTTCCCAACTGCAGGAACCCTTAACTAAGTAAGTGTCCAGTCATGTCCTGGAATTGCCCTAAGTTCCACGTGTGTCCTTAAAATGAACTTGGACCCTACTCCACTCCAGCTTACCAGCCTTTTTGCTGTTTTTCCAACACCCCAAGTTTGCCTCCACCTTGCAGGCCTTACCCACTATTGCCTCTGTCTGAAACATTCCTCCTCCAGCTTCCTTGTGGCTGAGCCCCTCTTGCTGCTGTCTCAGTTCAAATATCTCCCCTCAGAAGAGATGATGCCTGATGCCCCCTCTGTGATAGCCCATGCACCCTAAGGGTTCACCAGCCCACCATCCCCTCTTCTTTTCTTATCACCATCTGACATGACCTTAGGTCTGGTTTGCTTCTTGTTTACTATCTTCTGTCACCTACACAAGTGTGAGTTCCATGGGAGCAGGGGCCCTTGCCAGTCTTGTTCACTGCTGTGTTCTCGAGGTTCAGATGGTATCTGGCACATGGTGGGCAACCAACGAAAACGTGTTGAAGGAATATGGAAACACATATTCAGTCACACATGTGTGGTGGGCTGGGAATCCCCAGAGGAGGTCGAACCGGAGGGAGAAAGAGAAAGAACTGGACTCTGGGAGAAAATCCCAAGGGGACAAGGGCTCTGACGGAGAGGGCAGGACCTGGCAGCCAGGCTGGAGTCTCCGATGTACACAGCTGTGTTATGTCACTCCCTCCCCAGCCAGGGAAAAAGAGCACTGATGTGTAAAATAACTAGGGCCCTGCAAGCCTGTGATAGAAACCCTTTGGAGAAATTTATTTTCAGAGAGTTTCCAGGAAAACCTCTGGGAACCAAGACACTGGGTGCTAGGCAAGAACCCGACCCCAAGAGTAACTATTAGGGCGTGCAGGACAAGAGAGCCAGAAAAGTGGCCTGGTTTTCCTCCCCTTGCTGGATAGTGAGAAATAAAACCAGCTAATAAAATTTTATAGATTTACTTATTTATTTGGCCATGTCGGTGTATGTTTGTTTTATTGTATATATTTAAGGTGCACAACATGATGTTTTGATATAAAGAGTGAAATAATTAACTACAGTCAAGCCAGTTAACATGTCATCATCTCACAGAGTTCCCTTTTTTAGGTTGTATGGCAAGAACACCTAAAATCCACTCTATAGGCAGATTTCCAGGACAGACGGTCCTTGACTTAATGATGGTTTGACTTAAGATGTTTCAGCATTATGACGATGCCAAAGTGATGCACATTCAGCACGCTACTTGACTTACAATAAGGTTATGTCAGAGAAGCATCTGTATCTAACATTACATGGTCTGTGTGCTGTGCATTAGATTTCAAGACTTATTCATCCTTCATAACTGCACCTTGGCACTCTTTGACCTACACCTCCCACGGTCCCTTTGGTGACTGCTGGTCTCCTCTCCGTTTTCATGATTTTTTGATTTCACAAATGAGAGAGATCATATGATATTTGTTGTTGTGTGTCTGATACATTTCACCTAACGTAATGTCCTCCAGGTTCATCCATCTTGTCACAAATGGCAGGATTTCTTCCTTTTTAACGCTATATAATAGTCTATTGTGTGTCACACACACACACACACACACACACACACGGACACACACATACACCACATTTTCTTTATTCAGTCATCTGTCAATGGACATTTATACTGTTTTCATATCTCAACGACTGTGAATAATGCTGCTTTAGAAGCACAGTGAGAAGTCTCCTGGAACCTTCTCCCTGCCACCACCCAACCCCAAGGCCTTGTCCTGAGTCAGGAAAAGGGAAGCCCAAGGAGGGGAAAAAAAAGAAAAGACAAAATGGTATCTCTGTGATCTCTGGAGATCTGAGGCACAGCCAAGATTGGAATTCTCCCTGCCCCATTCCAGAGTTTTCTGAACTGCAACCCTTCAGGCATGCTTCACAAGATAAATATAATAATTCTTATTTTCCAGGCAAAAAAATTAAAGACCTGCTGCTGCTACTACTGCTGCTGCTGATGGTGATGATAAGGAAATCACAAGATGATTTGATCTTCCTCAGCCTCCGATGGCTGATTACAGGTAAATGTGGCTTCTGATGCAAAGTTATATAATTTGCCTCTTGTTCCTAATTCACTTTTAGCAAAACTAAAGTAATTCAAAAGTAATCCAGGCCAAAGTACAGTTGATTGGTTATAGAAACGTACTTCTCTGACTGCCAGATTACCATCCCTCTGGACCTCCTGCTAGGATTAGAACCTGAATTTTTAAAGGCACCAGGTGGGCAGTGCCCAGGGGAGGCTGAACTGCTTGCTGCCCATATAAGAGAATCTTGACTAAACTAAGCCAGTGGTCTCAGCACTAGCTGCCCATTAGAACCATCCAGGCTAGTTAAATCAGCCTAACTGGAATGAGTCTAGGCCTCAGTAGTTTTACAAAGCCCCCCCAGTGATTCAAAAGTGCAGCCAGGACTGGGATAGCCAACCCAAACTACTCATAATAATTTTCATTCTCATTAGCTGTGGGGTTCTGGGAAAGCAAAATTCCTTTCTTTGAAATACAAACATATTGTGTTGATGAAGCAGGCTGTGCTGCATCCCAAGGTGATGCCTAGAACTGTGGACAAAAGCCAGCACGCTGAAGTCAGCAGGGGAAAAAGAAGGGGAAAGCCCAGCTACTCAAGATATTATTGGGCGCAGCGGCCTACGCCTGTAAATCCCACACTTTGGGAGGCCAAGGTGGGCAGATCACCTGAGGTCACCAGCCTCGCCAGCACTGTGAAACCCCCATCTCTACTTACAAAAACATAAAAATTAGCCAGGCATGGTATCAGATGCCTGTAATCCCAGCTACCCAGGAGGCTGGGGAGGGAGAATCGCCTGAACCCAGGAGGCAGAGGTTTCGGTGAACTTAGATTGTAC